GTCTATTACACCATCGCTCAGCTCAACTCTGTAAGTATGCTTTGCTATAATAGCCTGCTGGTAACAGCAATTAAATAATGTGGGACCACCATTTTCGAAGAGAGCAAAGAAAAAAAACAGATTTTTCAAGATGAAAGTGAGACTAATGCGGGGACCGCTTTGGTCGCTTGTTAAGCACCTGCAACAAAGGGTTGCGTAGCTCAGAGTAACTTTACCAGTTAGAAAACACTTGTTTACCATAAGAGAGAAACAGAGATCAGGTTTGTTGCAGCAAAACTGAAATTGGTGATTTTTGGAACAACAAAGTTTTGGTGAGTTTTATTTAGTTTTTGTCGAATTTGAATGAAGTGTGTTTTAACCATAGAAATAATAGAGAGTAGACGCCCTTCGGCCGCTAACCGTTACTGCCTACTGGCGCGGACGAGCCGTGGGGCCTCCATCTTAGACCAGTCACCCGCTCGAGCTGTGACTGTGAGCTGTGTAACGAGCTGTCAGCGCATTTAATTAATCACACCTCACTGAATACCGAACTGATTTTCACGCGGGGGGGGTTTTCTGCAAAGGTCATACATGCAGCTATGATACAGGACACATGGTTCAGCGTATTTTAATATGCATAGTGGGCTTAACAGTAATAGAATATTCTGATATATGATATAAAGGGACCAGACGTCCGAGATCAAAACTGGGAACATAATCCCCGAAAAGGGGGGGAGGGGGGAAACGGGGACATTTTGACTATCAATCTGAAGGATCCCAGTGCACACTGCTGCCACGCAACGTAACTAGGAGTATGACCGGCATTTCTTGTGGCCAATAGGACGTCTATCTCTATTATGTCTATGGTTTTAACCATGAGCTAACAAGGTAACGATAACGTTAAAGTAATTTGAGCTAATGTTAGTCCCAGTTCTGGAAGCCAGAGATACTTCATTTCAGAAAGTGCACAGTTGTATTTTCCTGTGTTTACTGGGTAAGTGTTTTAACGTTATACAGTCTATTGGTAACTGTAGAGATAAAACAACTACTTTGGGGGTGGGGTACTTGGCCCCAGCCATGTTAACTTTTGTGGCGCAAACACCCAAAATACTACTTTACCAGGAACTGCATAATGTTTTAAGTTGTATGGTACATTTTGAGTAAGTTTAACCTTTTAGAAAAGACAAAGTGTCACTTAATCTACAAAATGTGTTCCCTATCAAGGCTACGGAACTTCGACATTACGGATGTCGTATATGGGAACTCCTCTCATCCTTCACTTCCGCTGAAATCTTATTGGCTAACGCCAGCAGAGCTGGCCAATTGACGCAAAATATGCAAATACTGAAACCCTGTTGCAGTAATAATGCAAGTGCAGCGTCAATTCCCTTCAGAATCTCTCTCTTCACGCTCAAATCGTGTGCTAGAAAGCTGATACTCCACTAACAATTCTAGGATTACTCGCCGTCGTTGAAGGTGCGCCGCAGATACTTACACTGTCTCCTGCATCCGATGGCGACTGTTTGCAACCTGTGCTCGGGCCCCATCGTGCCTCCCAACATGCACCTGTTTTGCGTCGCATGCATGGGACTGGCCCATGCTGAGTCAGCCCTCAGGGATGGAGGGTCCTGCGACCTCTGCGCGGACATGTCGCTTCGAGCTCTCAAGGCCAGGCGGGATGAAGCTCGCGCAGCAGCGGGGATCAGGCCGGCTGCCGCCACCGAGCCGCTGGCAGGCCCCCCCCAACCGCGGAGTCGAGGTTCGACCCCGGGTGAGTTTCCCCGACCCCACCTTTCAACCCCCTCGCGAGGTCGCTGACTTCCGTGTCCTTCGGGGCGAGTGAGGAAGACGACTCCATGTCTCTGTCTGCCTCCGAGAACGACTGGGGTGCGGAGCTGGCCGCTCCGCTGGCGGCCACGGAGCAAGAGACCCCGGCGGACCTGCAGGACGAGCTCTTCCGTATCCTCTCGAAGGCCGTCGAGGAACTGGACCTCTCGTGGAAAGCTCCCGATGAACCGTCGAAGAGCAAACTTGATACGTGGTTCCTCCAATCAAGCCGCCGTCAGGCCGCTTCGAAAAGAGGAACACCGGATGCTCAGAGTGCTTTTTTTTTTTTTAAGCTTACCTCAAGGGCATCCGGGTTGTATGGAGGATTGATTTCGAAGTGTACTGTCCCTTTAAGGCATTATACAGAAACTACTACGCTATAAATCAATGCACAATGTCACTTTGTATCGTTAAATGGGAATTGTATTTGTTTTTATCTGTTTTAAGTTTAAGAATAGCATGTCTTATGCATATATTTATCTTAATGTAACTTATTGTTCTACCCTATTCTATACTATCCACTTTCTGCTGTAATGTTGAAATTTCACACTTGTGAGACAAATAAAGGCTGATCGTATCGTATCGTATTTGCCCAGTCAGAGCGCTTCGGGAATACATTTCTCGCTCGGGCGCTTTTCGGACAACCACAATCGGACCAGCTGTTTGTGTGCTTTGGTGGGTGCAACAAGGGATGGGGGGTCTCTAAACAGAGGCCGCTTGTGGACGCTATTGTTTTGGCTTTTGATTGCCTGGGGCAGGAATGCCCCCTTAACGTCAAGGCCCATTCGACTAGGTCGGTAGCCTCCTCGTGGGCCTGGACTAAGGGTATGTCTATTCAGGATTTATGTCTTGCGGCTGGCTGGTCTTCTCAAAACACGTTTGCCAGGTTTTATAAGTTGGATTTGCCCTCTGTAGCAAATCAGCAAATCGGTGAGTTGATTGCATACATATCATTGAGAGAGCTGCTCTGCGCTTTGCTCATGAGTTGTTCTGTGTGCTTTTTGTGTGTTTTTACTGTTGTCACCGCTATGCATTGGCCTTCTCTTACTGTTGTTGTTGCCCTGTTGATCGACAGTGCAAACTTTCCCCGGTTATACTGCTCGGGATATGCAAATTCTGGCAGTGTTTTGTGAGCTTGTGATAGGTCCCTTTGGGCCTATCAGAGGTTAGAGGTTCGGTATTGGCCAATCTCGGCCTATCAGATGCTTGCATACTGGGGGGGGCGGTCTTGGTATTGGGGCCGTTGTTAGTGGTTTGTTTTTGCTGCCACGGTGGGATTCTATACAGTTCCCATATACGACATCCGTAATGTCGAAGTTACGTAGCCTTGATAGGGAACGTCTCCGGTTACTTACGTAACCTTGGTTCCCTGAAAGGCAAGGAACGAGACATTACGCTCGCCGCCATGTTCGCTATTGATTTTAGCGTTTTTGTTCGATTCTGAAGGGAATTGGGAATTAAATGGTTCTTAGCTGTTCATCTTAATTAAAAAAGAAGAGTTTAACTTGAAAGGCTTATGATTTAACGTTAACATATAGTCTAGTTTTTAATTATTTCATGGTAACATTAATTTATGTTCTTGCTCTTTGTTGTTGCAGATGGACACTAAACTCACACTCTGTACATGTCATGTGGAGTCAGCTCTTTCACTGTAGGCTCATGTTTGTGTGGTGAGTAATGTTTACATTTTTTGCATCATCTCCCAGTGGCCTGTGGTAGGGCTGTCGCGGTGAAGGAAATTCCCTTGCGGTAATTTTGAGTGGCTCAATAGCGCGATATTCGGTATTACCGCCATTTATTTATTTATATTTATTTCTTGCTATATAAATAGGTGTTATAATGTGGTCAGCATACACAAAAACAATGTAACCGAAACTAAACAGCGTCTCTGCGCGCAGTTACATTATTACGCCAACGGACTGTCTTTGAATGAGTCATTAAACCATTCATTCAACGAAAACGTTCAAAAAAGTTGATTCCTTAAAGGGATAGTTCACCCAAAAATGAAAATGAAGTCATTAATTACTCACCCTCATGCTGTACCAACCCCGCAAGACCTTCGTTCATCTTCGGAACACAAATTAAGATATTTTTTATTAAATCTGAGAGGTGGATCACTCCTCCATAGGCTTCCTAAGGGAGTCAAACTTGATCGCCCAGAAAGTCATTGAAGAAAATGTTTAAATATTTCATGTGCCTACAGTGGCTCCACTATAAGTTTATCAAGCGACGAGAATACTTTTTGTGCGGAAAAAACAACAAAAATAACGACTTTATTCGACTATTCCATTGCTTCCTTGTGGGCCTGAGACGAGAGTACAAGAGATTTCCAGGACGCATGCGCGAGAACAGACGTTCTTCTTCTACTACTATGTACAGCGCGTTAGTTCTCGCTCATGCGTCCTGGAAATCTCTTGAACTCTCGTCTCAGGCCCACAAGGAAGCAATGGAATAGTCGAATAAAGTCGTTATTTTTGTCCTCTGCGGTTGGCCTGTCAGTAGCGCGGTACTACAATATTGCGGTTATCGCGACAGCCCTAGCCTGTGGGCCGTTTTGGCCAGCCGTTAAATAATAGCTTGACCAGCCGCAGCTATAATATAGCAGCTTCTTTAAAAAATGATTACATAGAAAGCAGGAGAATCCAGTATCTGCCATCTCCTTGTCTTTCTCTCTTTGTTTTTCTGCCAAATAATACATTGACGAATGTTATTAAGTCATTGTTGATAAATGGCACGCAGCTGGCCACAAGTTTTAACGTTTGTGCTTCTAAAGCCTCTTCAGATGGGGTGCGACGGTCCGTTTGCGGACACATTTGGATCAATAAATAACCATTCAGTCAATAAGTAGAGGCTATAATCACTTTTTTGCAAGAAGGTTAAGCTACTGCTTTTATATTGGTTGTATTGACCATTTAAAGGTGAATTTTTAAAGGTGAATTTTAATAATATACATTGTTGTAAAGAATATTTAAAAATATATATAATTCCACAGGCTTCATTATAGACACAGTGATTGGTTTCGGACGATACCGTGTCCAGGAAATGGTGATTGTCCCCAAAAATCCTGATAGGAATACCCCTCGTATGTTTTGTTGTTGTTTGGTATTTCATAATTTGACATAATTTGTTTATTTTTAATTAGAAATACTTTTGAAACCTTTCTTTGATTTATCCTTATTTATTTTATTTTTTTATTTCTCAGTGACGAGTGATGCAGAAAATGCTGTGAATGTGGCGTTGTAAAGCCTGCCCCTCAGTTTTACCAAGTAGGTCCCATGCATTAAAGCATTATCGGGTAAAACATAGTTTTTATGGGAATAATAATAGATATCCATGTGCATATGTAACCTGCCTGTGCACTTTTAGAACATGGAATGCACATTTAATTCATTTGAATAGATTCCATGTGGCTGAAACCTCTCATCAAACAGATAGCTGTATATTTAGCTGCCATTTATGTCTTTGTGAAGATCTTGTCTCTGAAAGGGATTACTGGGTTCACATTAATGCACACCAGAAAAAAATGAAGTTGTAAACTTGCATGTTTTTAGGTTGCGACTTTCAAACGAATATCTACAGAACATTTAAATCCCACAAGAGCAGAACACACAATTCCTATTCATTAACAGATTTTAAACCAGGCATTTTGACATCTACCACTTTTGTTTCCCTGAATTCAGCTGAAAATACTTCAAATGATGATATAGGTGAGGTATACTTGGATGCACCAAATGTATTTTTGCCTGTAAAGACCTTCCAAATGTAATAGAACACACTTTTGCAGCAGCTCTGTTAAAGTTTTACATTTTACTCATGTACCAAGCACAGCAATCAGTGATTTTTTTGTCTGAGCTTAACCACATAACTAGCTCTCTCTCAAGTTCCCACACTGATGGTGTTCTAGTTGATATTTTTCAGAAGCACAACCTTCAGTTTGACAGAGATGTTGTAGAGGAAATAACCACTGCTTTATGCACAGGGAATCCTATAAATAAAGCCATAGCTAAGGGTGGGACTTTGAGTTCTGCATATCAACGTAAGCATTATTATAAGGCAAACTTTAATGTAATAGAACCAGTTGAATATATTTTGGATGCTAAAGAGAAGAAAACCTTTCAGTATGTCCCCATTCTTGAATCACTACAAGTGCTTTTGAATAGGAAAGATATCTTGGACAAGATAGTTTGTAATCACAATACAGAAGCGGAGACTTCAGGTGAAATTGTGTACATGTCCTTCAGGGATGGTCTGCATTTTAAGCAAAACACTTTTTTTGTCAGGGGAGGAGTTAAGACTATCTGTAAGTTTGTATGTTGATGACTTCGAGGTCTGCAACCCTCTAGGCACCTCTCGTAAAACACACAAACTTTGTGCTGTGTATTGGGTGCTGAGTAACCTTCCTCCTGGGTTAATTCGTCGTTGACCTACATCTACTTAGCATTGTTGTGCAAAACAGACGATGTGAAGTGCAATGGCTATGACAAGGTTTTAGAACCACTTCTTAGAGATCTCAGGTCTTTGGAAGTTAATGGAATATTTGTTCCACAACTGGGCAGATCGCTTAAAGGGACAGTTCAGTCAGTTGCTGCAGACAATTTAGGAGCTCACGGAATAGCAGGCTTTGTTGAGAGTTTTACAGGCCCCTATTTTTGTCATTTTTGTACTGCAACAGCCTCAGAAATTGCATTGAATGAGGTGAGATCAGAAACTTTTATCCTCAGAACAAAAGAAACAAATGGGACTCATGTCAAAGCAGCCTTAGATAGTGGCAGTAACTGTTTTGGAGTTAAACGAGCATGTCCTTTGACTAAAGCCCTTTCTCATTTTCATGTTGTCAGTGGCTACCCTCCTGACATTGCCCATAACCTCTTTGAAGGCATTGTGCCTGTTGAAATAGCAAGTTGTCTCAAAATACTAATATCAAAGAAGTATAGGATGATATCAACCATTCCATTCTTCACTTTCCATACAAGTGGACAGACAAAACAAATAAGCCTCAAGTTTTGCCGCAAAATCTGTCAAGCAGGAAAACCATAGGCGGTAATGCCCATGAAAACTGGAGCTTGCTAAGATTACTCCCCTTTCTAATTGGGCCCCAAATTCCTGAGCATGATCCTGCATGGCAAGTCTTGTTGGATCTAAAACAGATCGTGGAGCTTGTGGTTGCCCCAGTCCACAACGATGAGTCTTTTGCATTCCTTGAAAGCAAAGTTTCTGACCATAGACAAAGGCATCAAGAGGTGTTTTCACAGAATAGACTGCTGCCCAAACACCATTATCTAGAACATTATCCAAAACTAATAAAGTTGTTTGGGCCTCTTGTGGGTCTTTGGACCATGAGGTTTGAGGCAAAGCACAGTTTCTTTAAAAGGGTAATTAAACGCAAGAGTTGCTTTAAAAATGTGCCCCTCTCTCTGGCTGTGAAACATCAGTATATGATTGGGTACCACTTGTTGTCTCCAAGTATTGATAAACCAATTCTGGATGTGTCAAATGCATCTCTTGTCCCGTTAGAGTTTTTGAAGGTAGAGTTGGCTCAATCTGTCAAAGAAAGATATCCTGATCTATCTGAAATACACCTTTCAAAAAATGTTTGGAGCAAGGGAATAAACTACAGGGCAGGTATGGTAGTTGCCCATGGGTCTGAAGGTGGACTGCCTGAGTTTGCGGAAATCCATCAAATATGCATTTTGCAACCAAGATTGTTTTTTGTTTTGAAACTGCTGTGTGGATGGTATAGAGAGCACTATGGAGCCTATGAGCTGACTCCATCTCCAGCACAAGAACTTGCTCTTGTTGAGGTCTGTGAACTGGTTGATGAGTATCCCTTGGCTGCCTATCTGGTTGGGTGTGCGCGGATGGTGACCTTGAAGAGATCCATCTGCGTTAAAGTAAGGTAATAAGTTGGACACGATGGTTGGATACATAACATGAACATGAGGGCACACTCTTAAATTTGTCTATGTTAAAGTTATTTTCGTTAATGAAAACTAACCAAATAATAACTAGGTGTGTGATAAAATTATAGTTAACTGAAATCAAAATGAGTCCTTACAAAAAAAAAAAGATAATTGTAACTGTTTGCTTGCAAAACTAACAAAAATAAAGTAAAATTATAAAGTAATGTCTTTAGTTTTCGTCTTTGCCAATTTATTTTATAGGGCCTACATAAGACTAATATTTGGGGTTGAAATTAAATCTCTTCAAATTTCTTAGCTGTGCCCGTTATAGTCCATGCCGCTCGCCTGGCATCTTGGCGGCGAAAGTCGGGATAAAGCTACTGAGTCCCATTATACATAGAAAGATTAAACTTACACTGAAACTAATACAATTGAACTAAAACCTAAAATAAACAACCAAACTCACTTTAAAACAAATTAAAACTAGAAATTGCAAAACTATAATAACCTTGGTCTATATGTTTTTATGTCTTGGATGTCTTTCCTCCTTAGCATGGTGTTTGACAAACTTGCATACTTGCACATTTGATCTCAACAGTTTACTCTTTCAGATGACAAACGTATTGTTCTTTTTCTAAACAGACAGTGCAGTAAGACCATGACAGCGATTCTCAGAGTAATCCTGCGGCCAGACAGCTGTCAGAGGGTGGTGTTTCCTTCTGGTCTACCTTCAACTGTAACTGACCTAGAGACTGAGATAAAGAATCAATGTAAAATAAAACAATCCTTTCGACTGCAGTTTATGGATACACTTTTTGGCAACGACTTCATGAACCTCACTTCTGTGGAAGAAGTACAAGACAAAGCTACAGTCAAGGTCATATACACATCCTGCAGACCTCTCGATGGAGATCACTGTGCTGACGTTGACTCACCAACCACTCACAATGATGACTCCTTATGTTCTTCTGATGATAGCACCATAATTCTCTCATCGTCACAGTCCACCTCATCAAGTTCTTCGTGGCCAGATTTTTTTAATGTTCCTCGTTTTTCATATGATGCAGAGTTAAAGCTTGAACAAGCCCACACAGCTTTCAGAGAAAAGGGGACCCTGCTCATTCCTGATCCAAAGCTGAAGTCCGATATATTAGAGGGGTTTATACAAGCGATAGTCCAGCACAAAGACTATGTCACAGACCGGGAGTTTGACCAAGTTGCTGAGGCGCTCATCAAGAGGCATCCATGTTTACAAGAGAGAGGCTCATCTACTGGCTATGGAGGATGGAAGACCAGCCTCAAATACAAGCTGTTCAACTACCGCACACATCTCCGGAAAGTAGGATGTCCTGAAGTATGTGTAAATGCTTTGAAACATAAACCAGATGGTAAACGTAGTCCTGCCTTTGATGTTAAGAAACCAAAGAGGGGTGAAGTGGCCTACTATTCCTCCTTTCCACTTGGGGAGTGCGAAGAGTCCCTGGAGAAGATGAGGGTTGAACTCATTTCAGATATCAAGCAGCGTAATAACAGAGAGACAATTAGGGCTAAAATGGAGAAAAGGTTTGCATTAAGAAGACAAGAAGTAATATGTTGTGCTCCGATGATTAGCGACTTTCAAGAGAGATGGCCAGCTCTCTTTGATGTAATGGAGGCAAGTAAAAAAAAAAAAACAGTAAAATTGTGAAATCTCGTGTGGTAGATTGAGGTTAGACTAACACTTGGCTCCACTTTGCATGCAATGATGTGGTTTGCAGGCTTATTTTAATGCTTACACAGGTTTATGTATTGTAGAATGTCTGATGTGAAATTGTGGTGGGCCTCCACAGTTTACTACATTCATGTTTGGAAATACTGCATTTGATCTACTCTTAAAGATGAAATTTCTCAAAGGAAAAGAAGCATGAAAATATAAAGATGGTATTTGACAAATAGAGGGATGATTGCAGCTAAGAAATAATGACAAAATAACTTTACATTTGTTTAGTTGAATTCAGTTGAACCACATTTAAATGATATTTCTTACCAACCTCAGTTTTAGGTCTAACTAATATCTTGTATGCAGGTCCTTGTACTAATGTTTCAGATAAATGCAGAGTTTAAACGGATCACCACCATGCCTCTACAGTCAAGGTTCCTCTCACAGTTGGACCTATTCACTGCAAATTTGCTGAATGTGTTTGAGAAGAGATCTGGGCAGCAGGAAAAGAAGCTGAGAGACATGTCTGCCATGGTGACGGTAAGAATTCTAACTATTTAACTTTCAGTTGCATTTTTTCCACATGTTGGGATTAGGTTGGCAGAGGTGGGTAGAGTAGGTAAAAACCTGTACTCAAGTAAATCTGGTCGTCAAAATAATTATTTGAGTTAAGCTTAATTTATAAGTCTACGCCGTAGCCATGCATTTATACTTGTGTGTTGGTTTCGGCGTTGTTCTGCAATTACATCACCAAAACGCTAGTTAGTGGTAGCGCTACAGCTTCCATTGTCGACTTTTGCCGGCAAAACAGGCTAACTTCCTGTTTAACTCTCGCTTACTTAAAGGAGCTGTATGTAAGAAATGTATTTCAATTAATCATAAAATGGCCCTGATATGTCACTAGACATTAAGAAATCATGTTCATTTCAAATACTTATATCACTGACAACAGTAGTCCGGCCAGGATATTGTCATTTAAAAAGTGAAGTTGCAGCCCTCAACTGATGTTGATGTTGTCATGTTGTGTAACCCTAACCCTAACCTAACCGGATGCTCCACCCTCCACCTATCTACCAATCACGAAGTCAGTAGTGTTGCGGCATCCGGGTTGCCAGCTCTGCTCTAGTTAGCACAGCTGCAGCTACACACATTCCTGCTGGATCCTGCAGCCTATCTGGCAACCTCGAGTCAGGGAGGAGGGGGAGGGGATACACCGCTGTACAGTAATTTGAAAGTGATTGCAGTACCAGTTTTGGCCACAATCTTACATACAGCTCCTTTAAAGGGGGTAAAATTATATATGGGCTTCTTTTAGACTTTTCAAATGTTATTGACAAAATGGATCACATACTGAAAATTTACTTCAAAGCATGGAGCACTTCCTGTGGGCTTGGAGGCCGTGCAAGGCTATCCAGCCGACCAATCACAGTTTTGCAGTCCACATCGCTGCGACATGTAGTTACATTTTTGGGGAGGTGCACGTTGGGCTAATCGTAGGCTACGGCGTAGATTCGACGCAAAAGTATAAATCAAGCTTAGAGTGCAAAAGGATTTACTGAAATTTACTTGAGTAGCAAGTAACTTAAGAAATATAAACATAAATATAAAAACACCAGGGACAAATACTAAATTAACGCCAATAAGTAATTATTATTTGAACATGTTTCTTGTTGTCTACTGTAATTTATTATTAGGCAAACAAATCAAACAAACCTGTGTATTATGTCCATTGGTAGTCAATTGATGATGAAATGTCTTTACCTTTGCATTCAAATAAAACAACTACCTGTAACCGCTTTGTGTTAAAATGCAGTCATATGCTTTGTTTTATTCTCTAAGGATGACATTGATGCTGGTCGGGAATGTGTCATCAAAGGACTCTGCATCTACCTAAACGAGGATCCTGATCATCTCATGCAGGAGTATGTGGTGAATGTATAGTGAAGTAATAGTGTAACATTGTTAGACCCAGATCAGACAGTACTGCCCTTTTTCTTGAAGCCTACTTTTTTTTTTAAATGAAAGAGCAATTCATAGTTTTCAGTCATGTGACATGCACGGTGAGCTGGAGGGCAAAACAACAGACCAACATAGCGGCTCACACCACGACTCCCCCATAGAGACGCCGCAAAAGGAGTTACATTTTATTTGGATCACCTCTCAACTTAAGAAAAAGAAAGATATGGACACAAACTGCAAATCCATTTCTATCATTCAAAAGCGCCAGGTCCCTCCCGCGGCTCGACTGCAGTATTGTTTATGTTTACCTTGCGGGGAATCCCTCACCTAACACAGCCCAGGCTGGTCTCTTCCGCGATTAGTGTATCAGAAAGCAATGGACAACTACCATCCAGCATTTTGGCAACGCAAAAGTAACAAACTTAAAGTAACAGTGTATCACTTGCTTCCTGGTTGGCGGGCAGCGGAAAATGTATTTTTCAGACTGATCTCATGAAATGGCGTATGTATGACACGCCAATTCGTATTTCCATTTTTGGCGTGCTATCAACACGCATAATCGCTTTTCAGCGTGTTCATCAACGCCGTTGACTTAACGTTACATTACTGTATATATAAATATATGACCTACCCCAACCCCGTCCCTAAACCTACCCGTCACTGGGGTTAATACCATTTATGAGTCTTCCCCTACCATCCTAGAAAAAAAAATATCGCTCCCCAGATGTAGATCTACATTTTGCTTCGTTTCGCTCGGACATTTAACGGCGTGTACATACACACGGAATCACTCGGACATTTAACGGCGTAGACATACACGCAAAGGATGACGGTTCATTTCGGCGTGGACATACACGCGGATAGCTCAAAATGCGTATAGATAACACGCCACTTGAATTGAAAGTGGCGTGTATGTTTACGCAAAATCATGATGTCATGTTGGTATTTTTTGCAAAACAAAATCTTAAATATAAGTTTTTAAAAAATGGATCACAAAAGCCCTGGCACATTTTATGGTATTCAACTGTAGCCAAATTTATTTTGTGCTGCTTTTTGTACTGCATTTTTATACACTTAGGGGGCTATCACACCTACCAAACGAAAGGAACGGCTCTACCTTTGGTCCGACGAAAAAAGCCAGCCAACTAACCAAAACTAACCGAATGTATCAAAACATGAACTTTGGTTCATTCAGGTGTGAAAGCCCCCTTTAGTGTGTTCGCTAGAGTTTGGAGACTGGTCATCTGGAATTCTGTACCAGTACCCAAATGGTACATTTTAAGGTACTTAACCGTCTCTGTAATAACAAATGTACTGTAATTTCAGTTAATCAAACAAAACATTAGTGTGTCTGCTGTTTCTTTATGCAAAAGCACATATGGCAGAGGGATTTGAATCTGTATAACTAGGGGTGTGACAAAACGCTCACGAGACAAGACACAAAATTGGGTTCATGAGATAGAGACGAGATTTTGACAGTGCTTTTAAGAGAACTTCAATGCTGAATTATATGAAGATTTTGAGCATTAATTTATTTCCTGCAATTGATGGTAAAACATTTTTTATTTAAGTAAAGAGTAAAACAAAATTCTGTATTTTTAAGCACAAAAGTAATGTTGTAAGTACTTTTAGTGTAGTTTAAAAGATGCTCTATGTCCTAATGAGGTCTGAGTTTAAATAATTGTGTCCTTTCTTTTCACCAGGAAATAGCTGAGACCAATTTCTTCAGTGCCATAGAGATGACGACAGTGGGGATCTATGTTGTGAAAGACACTGCCAACAGTGAACCCTCTGACGTCTGAATAGTTATCGAGGGTGTGGTGGCACTTCGAGATCTTGAGAATGTAGCCCTTGCGTCTGCAATGTTGGTTGGACTCTTTGATGCATTAAACATGCAGTACCCTACAAAGCTCCGCTACACTTTTGAGGTAATTCAAAAGATAATCATGGAGGTGGATGCAGGTGAACTGTCTGGAAAGGCTCAAAGCTTGAAAACTAAGCTCCTCCAGTGAAGAGAGATGAGCTATATTCTTGGCTATTGGTTGGATTAGGACATGACTTTTGGCAAACTAATAGTCTCCAACTCTACATTGCTGGACTGAGTGGTGTTGCAACATGGTTTTGGGACTACCAAGTCCAGTGATATTTTTCTTTTACAGTTGATTACTTCATAAGGCACATTTGCATTTTACCATTCCATGTGTTAATGTGTTGGAATATAATACATTGTTCAAAAACCCATGTCACATTTGAAGTGAATTGTTTTAGAGATGCAATTTGCAGTTACATTTTACAAATTATTGGACCTGTTTTAGACAACAAAGCTACACCAGGGAAGGGAGCTCAATGTTTTTGTCTCCTGGTTTGATTAGGACATGACTGTTGGGATGCACCTTTTTGTCTTTTAGCTACAGTATACATTAATTGAGTGAGTGGTGTTGCAGCCTGGTTTTGTTATCACCAATCCAGTGATATTCAAGTTGTATAGTCTTGATTACTGTACAGTACATATTAGGATTTTACCATTCCATTGTTTTGCTCTGTTAATATAGCATTGTTCCAAAACCTTAAGCTTCCCACAGTACATTTAAGGTGTTTTTTCTTGTAGTTTTTTTTATAGATGCAGATGCATTTTTGAAAAAGCTCTGGCATGTTTTAGCCAAACTAACCTACATCTGGAAAGAAGCACATTATTCTTAGTTTTATTAGCCCATGACTGTTGTTATACTTTTTTGGGGCTCTTAGCTACAGTATGCAGTACACCCCAGGAAGCAGTGTTGAGGCCTGGTTTTATTACCACCAAGTTTAACAGTTTTGATTACTGTTCAGTACTAGGCACATTTTACTAGTCATCTTACATTGTTAACAAATCTTGACATCCCCATGGCACATTATGGTGAACTTTTAATTTTGGAAACTCAGTGCCAATTGTTTTTCTAGCCACACCTGTGCAGTACATTCATTTGTTGAATAAAATGTCAGAATTGAACCGACTTATAGTTTTTAATGAAAATATATTGTTAATGTTT